ATTAAGAAGAGTTTTCTCATCTTCTACTTTTTTGGAAGAATTTGAGAAGGATTGGTATTAATTCTTCCTTAAACAATGTTGTACTTTGGATCTGGAATGGCCCCCCAAAAGCTAATGTGTAAGGCAATGCAGTAATGTTCAGATGTGAAATCACTGGATTAGGAGAGCTCTGACTGTATCAGTGGATCAATCCATTTGATGGGTTGATTTTTGTGATTTGTTTTGTTTCCAGGTATTAAACCCAGGGGTGTTCAACCACTAAGCCACATCCCCAGCTCCTTTTTAATTTTTTCTTTAGAAACAGGGTCTTGCTAAATTGCTTAAGGCTTCACTAAGTTGCTGAGGCTGGCTTTGAACTCAGGATCCTCCTGCATCAGCTTCCCGAGCCACTGTGATTATAGGCCTGAACCACTGCACCTGACTCCAGTTTTCCTTTTGTATTGATTTCACTATTGTACCCAGAGATCACACTTTGAATAATTTCAGTCATTTTAAACATATTGAAATTTGCCTTGTGGTCTGACATGTGATCTATTCTGGAAAGGATTGTTCATATGCTTTTTTATTATTAAGTTCTTAATATTTATTTTATTTATTTACAACATGTACTAATTCTTACAGGTTAGATAAAAAAGGAACATAATTATCCACATTTTTGTATGAAATTCAAAGATACCAAATAATTGTTCTCAAGTCATACTGCTAATAAGAAGCCAAGTTACAAAAAAAAAAATAAGCCAAGTTACAATTTGAAATATCATCTGTCTGATCTGTTCATATGCTCTTGAGAAGAAAGTGTTCTCTGTGTTGCTAGGTGGAGTATTTTATATCTGTCTGGTTGCATTACTTGATTTATGATATTGCTGAAGTCTTCTGTTTCCTGCTAATCTTCTGTTTGCTTATTGCATACATTGTTGAAAGCAGAGATTTTCCAACTGTCATTGTCAAAACTGTGTCTTACTTTAATTCTAAAAGATTTCCTTCATATACATTGGGACTCTGATGTTAGGGGAACAAGCAATTGTGATTTAATTTTTTGCTGAATTAAATTATTTCTTGTCTGAATTTGTTAGATTAGGTATAATAGAGTGTTCTGATTATTTTTGATAGCTACAAGTTTTAAAACACCTACTCTTCTACCTGTAATATATATACTCGAATTGTTTTTTCTTTAGATATTTAAGTGTTTGTGTGTGTGTGTGTGTGTGTGTGTGTGTGTGACAGGAAGGCATTAGTTTTTACTGAATAGTATCATAAAAAGAAGATAGTGTATAAGAAGACATTTTGGGGGGCTGGGAATGTGCTCAGTGGGAAATCGTTCACCTAGTATGTGAAGCCCTGGGTTCAGTGTCCTGTGCCCAAAAAGAAAAAAAATTAAGTGGCATTTATATAGCTGTATCAAGTGCTAATATGTGTATTTCCATGCTGGCCTGTTTTCATTCAGTAATGTCATGGTGGTAGCTTAAAGTCAGCCATAGTGAGTAGGTATACTGTGGAAATCAGAAAGTACTACAAAACTGGGATTTTTGCCAGTGTCAGTTTTTAAACATTTACCACCATTCCACTGCCTTATCCCTGTTTTTCAAATAAAGAAATAACAAAAACAAAAACCTGAGTTGAAATGTTTCCCCCAGATTACTCAGCTACTTAGCTGATAAAGTAGATAATCAAACAGACCTTGTAACTCTCTCCTGCCTAAATATTCCTCCTCCCGTATGCGTGCCCTTTTTCCCCACCCAAACAAATTGGCCCAAAGTGGTTTTGTATAGTTTCTACAAAATCCATTATGAACATTTGTTTAATAGGATTTGCAATTCTGATTGACATTATAATGTTGGGGGAAAATGTTTCCAAGTTCTGACATTTAAGTGACTAAGATTTTATTCTACCAACAAATTTTATTCTACCAAACAAAGATCTTATTCTACCAAAAAAAATTTAGAATTTTTTCTAAAATCCTTTTCTTTTGGCCCTTTTTTTAAAAAAAATTAGAGCATTATAATTTTGCAAACATGCATGGAATTTTATTTTATCCCCATTCCCTCGATTTCCCTTCCTTCCTCCTCCCCCCATTCTTCCTCTACTCTGCTTGTCTTCCTTTTGCTCATTATTGATTTTTTTTATTGTTATTTCTGCATATACAAAAGATGAAATTCCCTGTGGCATATTTATAAGTACACACAGAAGGAATGTGTTAGATTCATTTCATAATTTCCTCCCCTTTCCCATCCCTCCTTATCTCCTTCTACTATATTGATCTTTCCTATATCTTTACCATACCTGACCCCAACCCAACCCTCCTTCTTTTCTTTGTGTTGCTCTAGCTTCCACATATGAGTGAAAACATTCAACCCTTGATTTCTGAGTCTGGCTTATTTTTACTTGACATGATGTTCTTCATTTTGATCTATTTACCAGCAAATGCCATAATTTCATTCTTTTTTATGTCTGCAAACCACATTTTCTTAATTGACTGATCTATTGACAGGTATCTGGGCTGGTTTCATAATTTGGCTATTATGAATGGTGCTGTTATGAACATTGAAGTGACTGTATCACTATGGTGTGCTGATTTTAGTTCTTTTGAATAAATAGTGAGGAGTTGGATAGTTGAATTATATGGCAGTTCCTTCCTAGTTTTCTGAGGAATCTCCATACTGCTTTCCAGAGTGGTTGTACTGTCCTACAGTTCCACCAATTATGTATGGATGTACCTTTCCCCCCCACATCCTCATCAGCATTTACTATTTTTATTCTGACTAGAGTGAGATGCAGTCTTAATGTAGTTTCAAGTTGCATTTCCCTGATTGCTAGAGACATTGAAAATTTTTCATATATTTATTGTCTTTTAGTTCTTTTAAAGTCAAGATATTGGGTGTAGTGTTGCATGCCTATAATCCCAGCAACTCAGGGAGGCTAAGGCAGGCAGATCACAAGTTCAAGGACAGCCTGGGCTACTTAGTGAGATTATTTAAATAAACAAATTCAAATAAATAAATAATTTTAAATAAATAAATAGGACAGGAGTGTAATTCAGTGGTAAAGCATCCCTGAGTTCAATCCCAGTATCTAATTAATTAATTAATTAATTAATTAAAATGGTATTAGACAGTCATTACATTTCAAAGAAAAGACACTAAGAACTTTAAGAGAGCAGGTCACTAAGAAAAGATCAGTCAGTGCAACACCACATGATTGGGGGGTTAGCAAGGCCACAGCTATACTGTGGACACAGGTGTTTATGAGCTTTCAGGGAACTTKCGAATGTGGAAGGCTGGTAGCAATATGCTACAAAGAATTTGCTTTTCAGGGCAAAATAAGCTTCAGTTTCTGGATTTATCCTCCATGGCACACATACTGGCCTACACCACTAGCTAAAGGACTGATTTGTTCAAGCTTCCATTTGCCTTTGACTTTTGCCTTCACTAGGCCAAAAAACATCCATCTAATTTTTATATTTCCTCTCCTGTTTAGTTTCCAAACTTTTCATAAATAATATTATTGTTTCAGGGTCCCATGGTAAACATGGTCTTCTAATAAATGACTGAGAATGAAAGATTGTATCATGGGTTTTTAAATTGTCTTCTCCTTTGTGATCCAGTTACCATGTACAAAGCTACACTTCTCAGTAGTCCAAATTTTACTTTACAACTTATTTTTTCCCTCTTGAATGCACTATTATGTATTTATTTCGTATAATACTTTTTGTCATACTTCTTTATTTTATTTTTTTATTTTTATTTTTATTATTTTTTTTAAAGCATAGGAAAGGAACATTTTTTTTTAAGAAAGAGAGAGAGAGAGAGAGAGAGAGAGAGAGAGAGAGAGAGAGAGAATTTTATTTATTAGTTTTCGGCAGACACACCATCTTTGTTTGTATGTGGTGCTGAGGATCGAACCCGGGCCGCACGCATGCCAGGCGAGCGCGCTACCGCTTGAGCCACATCCCCAGCCCTTGTCATACTTCTTTTAACTAATTATACACATTCAGAATCTGCTTCCCCAAAATGTTAGCCTCTCAGTTTGGTGACATTGGCAAGTTTCATGAGTACATTTAATTATGTGTCTCTTTTTTCTAAGTGATTAACAAAACATTAAAAACTGACAAATTCTTATGACAACAATCCTCCCTAAGTGATCTTAACCCTAACACCCAGACTTGAAAGCCACTTTTAAAAATTTGTGTTTTTTTAGTTATACTGACAGTAGAGTATATTTTGACATATTCTACATAGAATATTCATGGAGTATTCTTGTCATTGTACATGATCTGGAATTACCCTGGCCATGTATTCATATATGAACATAAGAAACTTATGTCTGCTTCATTCTGGTATCTCCTATTCCCATCCCCTCTCCATTCCCTTCATTCCCATTTGTCTAATCCAAAGCACTTCTATTCTTCCCTACACTCCCCTTATTGCATGTTAGCATCAGGTATCAGGGAGAACATTCAGGCTTTGGTTTTTTGGGATTGGTGAAAAGCCACATTTTAGGGACAACTTGCTAGTCTGTGAGGCAGGGTGGTTACACAGTGATGGTGTGTGACATGGAACTAAGTAACAAGGCTGAAAAGTGAATCAAGACCTAATAAATGTAAAAGTTCCGTGGGATGATCAAGAAAGTAGAGCCAGGGGAATAACTTATTTTAATTCCTCTGAAACTTTAGACTTCATTCAATAAAGATACTTAGTATAATAACAAAACTTGTACAATAGTATCCCACTTCTTCCCCAAGACTTCGAAGATTTAGAAGTGAACTTGTTAATCCTAATATAGCTAACTTATTTTTGAGTCCTATTTTGTGTCCTAGTCCTAATGTATCATACCTAATAAGTACTAAATAAATGGTTGTTCTTATTAATGATAAAGTAGCTGCAATTTCTGAGCACCTTTGATTAACTAGCTGATACAGAATAGTTACGTTGAGTCATCTGGTAATTTCATTTACTTAACACTAAGCCAAAACTGAAACCTTAGTGAATATTTTGTTTCTAAAGTCTGCCTCTGATTTCAGGTTAGGACCCATCTTGGAACCTGAGGAAGTGGTAGACAAGCTAATGAATGGGATCCTGACTGAGAAAAGGATGGTTTTGGTTCCCTCCTCTCTAAACTTTTTACTTATCTTGGAAAAGTAAGTAACAGTTAAGTTTGTCAGCATTAGAAGTGAAC